GTCAGTACCGGGCAGGCGGTCCTCGATTGAAGACAAAATGAGAAAAAACCAAGAAAGTACTTGATAAAAATAGCTGCGTAAACGCAAGCGAAACATAAGTGGAACCAACTATTGGTGTGACACCCAAGTCAACTTGCCAAGTTTTTATGTCAGTGTTTCTAGAAATGATATGAAATCTAGAAAGGTTAATGCAGTCAAGCTGCTGGAAAATAATTCTATGAAAATCACCAATAGGTGATTTTCATAGAATATTTACATTATATAATTGAATTATACCCTTTTTGTGATCGAATAAGAAACCGTCCATGATATTCAATTGCGTTCAGTGACTTTCCAGTATCTTCAGAACTTCAGAATATGAACTTTTCTGCTAATTCGAATGGAATAATGAGATATAAAACCAGTCCAATGTCCATTTGATCCAATTTTCCACGAGTTTATTTCATTTCAGTTTGCCTAAAATACCTTCCCCAGACTCGTTATATCTTAAAAGGTATGAAGGTTGGCTTATTGGATTGAAGGGCATTTTTGTCCTACATAAGAAATGCAGTTAGATATCAGGTATAAGCAATATGGAAAGCTGAAATCCTCGATTCATTCTAACATTATATTTTTCAGCCCATCATATATCAATTTACTAACTGTAGAAACAAATATTGTGTATTAATTTTTCGATACTTAATGATAATTGAAATTCAAATGCACGAAATAAATTCAACCTAAGATTCCTCAACATGAAATAGGAAGTATGAGTAAGAATAATAGTATTTGATATTTTGAATCTTAATTGAGAGATATGCAGTTATTCAGAAATGAACTGAAGAGTATTTTACCCACGCAAATTTATTAGGATATTAATGATTTTGAGATACCTTTCCAAATCAAAGGCTTCTGAGTCCAATTAGTTTTAGTTTGAAATTCTGATAGATTGATAGACATAAGAGGATTTCATTAAGGTAAGTATTGAATGTAGTGCAGAATGCTAACAAAGTAGATGTTTTTGTTATATGACTCAATAGAAAACATTTTATTTTTTGAATCGAAGTAAGTAGATTCCCCAGGGAACTCAGAAATATTTGGTCTGATAAAGAGTATAGAAATGATTTCGTTGTTTATTTCACTCGCCTGCCTTATCTACGACGGCAATAAATCTTACCGGTTAATTGAACGCTTTTCCGTGTTTTTCCCAGTTGATTATCTGCTGCGCAAGTGTAATTTCCAAAGTCTGATTTGTGCACTTTTCGAATCACTAGAGTGTGTCGTGAGCCTCGCGATTCCATTATTCTTTGTTCTGTCGGGTCGAGCAACATCGTGTCCCTATACCACAAAACCTGCAAAAGAAAGAGAGTCATAGTAACCACCGTAAAAATATACTAACAGTCAATTGGAGTAATACACTGGGGATCATTATATTATAAAAGCATGATTTGGAGGGAATGAATAAAAAATATCAAAATCGAGCCCTGATAAAACAGTAATCTGTTATAAGGTACGTACACATTACATCTGGAATTAGGGAGATTCGGTCATACGCAACAGATTACCATATGGAGGAATATTTTTGCACCCTGGTGAGTTTCTTCTCCTTATCTAAGCCCTTTGTAGGGTCGTGCATGTAGGGCACCCGATCAGAATAATGAAAAATCCGAAAGTAATTTAAGGAAGTGGAAGGAATTTGTGGAGTCAAGAGTGGGTAAGCTCGTGATCAGAATTGCGTCACATTAAAAACAATCTCGGGTTGTCAACGAATTTGTAAGAACAGAAAATTTCTAATAACTCTCACGCGCCTCCTTCTTAGTCACACAAGATTTACACACCCCTTTCTTCTAACGAATAATGATCCACCTAAATGTGACGATTGTGATACAGCACAAAGTATAAACCACACTTTCTTTGAATGCCCTAAATACAATGCACAACGATCTAATCATCAGATCCTGAATGATATTAGTGTTCTCCTACGAACAGAATTTCCCTCAAAAAATCTAATTGATAACTTCAAATCGATAACCTTATTGGATGAAATTCAGTTTTTATTGTTATTAGTATTGTACTGATCCGTCACTGAACACCTTTAAGGTGAATGCGATTATCTTAACAATAAAAGAAAGAATAATACTCCTCAAACCACATGTTTTTAAAAATACCTCAGTTGGAGAATGGAGTCTTTTCAAAATAATGTTTTCAAATTATTTTCGCCAGTTAGATACAATTTATATCGATTTTAATCCAACGTATATTGTAGTTTTCACAAGTCTCTGAGTGTCTTGAGGATTTTCAAACAGTGCTTGTGTATCTTCATGGAAAAAATATTTGTATCAATGGAGAAATCACTTGGTCACTACATGATTTACGGAAAATGAAAATGAGATTGCACACAGACCTAATTTTCAACCATTTAGTATATTACTCCGTATAATTTTTTCACTGTTTGATTCTTTTCCGAGTGTTTGCAGTATCTGTGGTGTTTGAAATTTGGGATACAAAAGTGAGGAAAATTCTATCGATAGTATACAATGGGAACAATATCATTCTTAATGAAGTGGTATATTAAGATGCTATTGAATGTATTCTTTGAGACGGTTGGCCGATATAACGGCATGAAAATTTCAATTAATTCATACTGAAATTTTGGCACCAAAAGTTTTATGTAATGAGTCGCGTTACCAAAAAAACAAATATAATAAACAACAATGATTTTCATTACAGTTTCTAGGTAATCCTGGAATTCTTCTGCTACTTAATTTTTTTACTGGGATGTGAATAAAAAAGAATGAGATGTTGAAATTTGTGAAAATATTGAAAATATTTGGAGGGTCCAATTACTTTAAAGATAAATATTCAACGAAAGTCATTTTTTGAGAAGGAAAATCAGTTTTTCATCGTTTTTTTGGGTATTTTTCACCTTCCACAACCTGAAAAATATAAAAATTATAATGGAGATGAATGATGTAAAAAAATGGATGAAAAATTAATAGCACAAAATTAAAAGACTTTCACTATTCTACGTAGTCTCATCGATATAGGATTTGTCGCATTTAAATGGTATCCGTTAAAGGCAATTTTTGAAATTCCTGTCTGCGTTTGATTGCTTGCTTTTCGTGAGGCTGCTACAGATGTACTCGAATCTGAAGCAATTCTTCTCCATTATTTCTGACAGTCCTCAAATACCTGAGACTTTTGTTGTCTTCTACATCTAGAAGCTGATGAAATAGACTCCATCGAATCTATTTCATCAGCTTTCTGGAGTGCCTATTCTTTCCTGATATGACCTTGTTTCTTTTCGAGACTTTCCAACAACAAGAAATGAATCGTGCATTCAGACTTTGTAACAAGAAGGAAAGTCGAGGCGAGGAACTAGGTCTTATCAGGAAAAATCTCCAGTAGGATGGTTGCTCCAAAGAGTTAATGAAACATATTTTGACAACGAATGCTATCTCTTTATTATATCAGAGGACTGTCAAAGCGGATTAGAAGAATTAGGTCTGAGTACAAATAAGAACCTGCTTCAGATCCGGGAAAACCATCATCAGTAGTCAAAAAAACCAAGCCACCAAATTCAGATTGGGATTTGAATAAATACATTCATAGGATAACAATTGAGCCGTTAAAATTTCTCTTTGGCGAGCACAGAAAAAATATCCAGCGAAGAGATAGCAGCAAATCGGGAATAGCGGAATGTTCAATTCATTTTCATTTCAGGCCACAATAATTTATTTCACGAATTAGCGTTCTTACAATTTCTGCTCTCCATCATTTATGAAATTCTTTATATTCTGTTTGAATCAGCTCAACACTCCGATTATTTTTCATATATTCAATAATATCAATATTAAATTATTTTTCATTTCATTTGATAAACTACCATATGATGTTCACTGAAACTAATCCAACAAAAGTTGACTAGAAAGTTTCCCAATGGTATTAGCTATGTGGAAATAATACACTATATTGAAAATATGACAAATATTTTTGCGCAACTACAGTAAGTAAAGTGACGGTAGAACGTACCTATCAAGTTCAGTAATTTTCAACTGTTGCCAATGGATGAATTAACTGTACTGAATAAGAATATATCATGTTTGTGATACGAATAACTTCAGTATTTTGATTTTGTTCATGCTCACATCATAAACTGAGTTAACTATCACACAGAACGGCGATTTCAATTGACTGTCATTCAAAGCCAACTGTGACCTATTTCAAACTGGTAAACCAAATTCCAAAATAATTTCATTAAAATGCTGGGAAATTTGATGGATGTAGCCGTTACTACGTGGTAGGAGAACATAATGAAAAGAGAAATGAAAATTTTTATGTTTTTTACCACTTTTGATTGTAACTAACGTTACTGCAGTTTCGTCCTATATAGACATTCTCAAACTAATACAATAAACTAACAATGATTCATTACATTCGCCAATATATACCATTCAGGTACTTGATTGAGTACCCGAATTTACAGTTTAATCATATAACAGCTTGCACCCGCAATGTCTATGCTTGTAAATTTCCAAGGATTCTAAATAATTGAGTTTGCAACCCTTCCTTGCATAGTGCAGAATTTCCGTATCGTTTAGATTCGGAAACTTGTGGTTTCATGCTAAGGAATGGTTTGAAAACGTCGAATCATTTTTTCCTAGTCTGAAGGACCTTTCATGTTCGGCATACCGTTTTTGAAAATTTCGTCCGCATTGTCCCACATAAACACTATTACACTCCAGATACTTAAGCTTATAAACTCCAAATTTTTCCAACTTGTCGACCTTATCTTTGGCATTGAAAAGGAAATGAGATAACCTGGCATGTGGTCTGAACGCTACTTCCACATTATTTTTTCTGAAAAAACCTACGTTTACTCTCCGGATTTTGAATTGGCACATCCTCATTGTGAATTGTAAATTCAGGTACACAATCAAGTACCTGAATGGTATATATTGGCGAATGTAATGAATCATCGTTAGTTTATTGTATTAGTTTGAGAATTTCCATAAAGGACGAAACTGAAAATTGAAAACGGTAAAAAACATAAATTTTCATTTCTCTTTTCACGTGGGAAATTTTCCAATTGCATACCACGCGTGCTTGAATTATCCTTGGGAAGTATGTTTCACTCAAGAATTGTGAAACTATTTCTTCTGTCGAATCAACAAGAACATTCATATGTTATATTCATCATTTTGGATAATGAATGTGGTTCATTATGATTGCTTTCGAATAGTTGCAATGAAATTTGGAATTCTCAAATATTTTGAATAGGTCAGTAAAACCATTATTATCGAATATCAACTGTACCCAAAACAATAGGTCAGTTTCATACAAAGTTCATTTGAATAGACTTGAATGTAATTCGAATATTTTTTTCGAATACTTTTTCTGCTTTTGATAGAATTTCTTGGTCTCTTCGATGCTATGTCTCCCTAGCAATATTCACCAAACGTGTATCAAACAGAGGTTTTGCTTGAACAACGTGATTTGTGCCTATTCCGTTTCCGAATGGCAATATTACCCTCCCTTCAGACAAGCCTAAAGCCTCGCTTTTCTCGAAAAAGTGGTAAACGTCAATCATAAAGTAAATACCCATCCTTCGGAATATCCTTTTTGTATACGATCGAGTTTTTCCGAAACGCAAATAGATTAGCTTTCCGTTCAGACGAATTGAAAATAAATGGAAAGGAAATAGTACGCTTATTATTCAACCGACCGAAATTGAATAATGACCGTAAAAATCCGAATAAGTCCGCTCTGTTTCACAGGAATGGAACTAAATATTACCTGATGAAAATGTTGGTCGGAACAGTGCCGTGCTATTGTTCACCAGATATACTTGCCTGATTTAGATTTTTACATGATCGGTATTTCCGAGTCTGTTATTATAAACGCTACATTTTGTATAACTGAATAAAAAGTCCAAGGGACCAAGTTCAGGTGACCTAGCGGACCATTTCTCTGTTTCCCTTCACTCTATTCACCAATTATGGAAAGGTTTTATTTACGAACTCACGTACAGTTACAGAGGAATGTGGCGGTACATCTTTTTGTTGGAAATAGATTCTGCGATCTGAAGTATTACCTATTTGATTATCAGAACAACGCTTAATTGAACTAGGAATCAATATATTTCGTGAAAAAAACAGATATAATGTTCCTGACAAAATATGAACGAATAACCATATTGACCATATTGGCTTTCTGAAATCACTGTTTTGCTGATCAACATGTAAGTTCAGATAAAACGTTGCCTCTTCTGAAAATATTATTCTAGAGATTCTTATTCGCCATTGATGCACTGTTTGGAACCTTTGGTGTAGATATTACTGGAGTTTTTTCCCGAAATCAAATCTTCGTTTTTAACATATCATTAC